TCTTTAACAATTTATTCCTGGAAACTTCATTGATATTATCTCATAGTTTTTGTATCATATCATAAATTACAATCTTTAAGCTTCCATTTAACATACATATCATATCGTAGTTCTCAAAAACATAGAAGATATGATTTTTTGAAAATCTCGTGTTATTTTTGATTTAAAATTGACAATTTCTTCTTTAATAATTTTTTCCTGGAATTTTCATCAATATTATCTCATAGTTTTTATATCATATCATAAATTACAATCTTTAAGCTTCAATTTAACATACAAATCATATCATGATTCTTAAAAACGCAGATGATGTGATTTTTTGAAAATTTCGTATTCTGTTTAATGTATAAATTTGATAATTTTGTCTTTAACACTTTATTCCTGGAAATTTCATTAATATTATATCATAGTTTTTATATCATATCATAAACTACAATCCTTAAGCTCCAATTTAACACAGATATCATATGCTGATTCGTAGAAATACAAATATGATTTTTTGAAAATTCGCGATATTACTAATAACAAATTTGCTGGAAANCAGATATGATTTTTTGAAAATTTCTTATTCTGTTTAATGTATAAATTTGATAATTTTGTCTTTAACACTTTATTCCTGGAAATTTCATTAATATTATATCATAGTTTTTATATCATATCATAAACTACAATCTTTAAGCTTCAGTTTAATATATATATATCATATCATGATTCTTAAAAATACAGATGATATGATTTTTTGTAAATTTTGTACCCGTTTTGATTTATAAATATAACAATTTCTTCTTCAACAATTTATTCCTAGAAATTTCATTAATAATAACTTATGGTTTTTATATCATATCATTAACTGGAATCTTTAAGCTTCAGTCTAACATACATATCATATCGTTATACTCAAAAATATATTAGATATGATTTTTTGAAAATTTCGTATTATTTTTGATTTATAATTGACAATTTTTCTTTAATAATTTTTTTCCTGGATATTTCAATAATATTACCTAATAGTTTTAATATAATATCATAAACTTGAAGTTTTAAGCTTCAATTTAACATACAAATTATATCATGACTCTTAAAAGTGCAGATGATATGGTTTTTTGAATGTTCGTACTTTTTTCTTCAACACTTTATTCCTGGAAATTTCATTAATATTATATCATAATATTTATATCATATCATAAACTACAATCTTTAAGCTTCAATTTAACATACATATCATATCATGATTCTTAAAAATACAGATGATACGATTTTTTGAAAATTTCGTACTCGTTTTGATTTATAAATATGACAATTTCTTCTTCAACAATTTATTCCTGGAAATTTCATTAATAATATCTTATGATTTTTATATCATATCACAAACTGCAATCTTTAAGCTTGAATGTAGCATACATATCATTTCGTGATTCTCAAAAATATATTAGATATGATTTTTTGAAAATTTCGTATTATTTTTGATTTATAATTGACAATATCTTCTTTAATAACTTATTCCTGAAAATTTCATTTATATTATCTCATAGTTTTTATATCATATCATAAACTACAATCTTTAAGCTTCAATTTAACATATAAATCATATCATGATTCCTAAAAATGCAGCTGATATGGGTTTTTGAAAATTTCGTATTCTTTTTTATTTATACTTAAGACAATTTCTTCTTCTACAATTTATTCCTGGAAATTGCATTAATATTATCTCATAGTTTTTATATCATATCATAAACTACAACCTTTAAGCTTTAATTTATCATACATATCATATCGTTATTCTAAAAAATATAGCAGATATGATTTTTTGAAAATTTCGTGTTATTTTTGATTTTTCTTTAATAATTATTTTCCTGGATATNATTTCTTATTCTGTTTAATGTATAAATTTGATAATTTTGTCTTTAACACTTTATTCCTGGAAATTTCATTAATATTATATCATAGTTTTTATATCATATCATAAACTACAATCCTTAAGCTCCAATTTAACACAGATATCATATGCTGATTCGTAGAAATACAAATATGATTTTTTGAAAATTCGCGATATTACTAATAACAAATTTGCTGGAAATTTTAGTAATATTATGTTATACTTTTTATATCATATCATAAACTAGAATCCTTAAGCTCCAATTTAACATAGATATCATATGCTGATTCGTAGAAATACAGATGATATGATTTTTTGAAAATTCGTATTAATTTTGATTTATAAATTAGACAATTACTTCTTTAACATTTTTTTCCTGGAAATTTCAATGATATAATCTAATACTTTTTATATCATATCATAAACTGCAATCTTTAAGCTTCAATTTAACATACATATCATATCGTGATTCTTAAAATTGCAGATAATATGGTTTTTTGAAAATATCGTATTCTTCATGATATATAAATTTGACAATTTCTTCTTCAACAATTTATTCTTGGAAATTTCATTAATATTATCTCATAGTTTTTATATCATATCATAAATTACAATCTTTAAGCTTCAATTTAACATACAAATCATATCATGATTCTTAAAAACGCAGATGATGTGATTTTTTGAAAATTTCGTATTCTGTTTAATGTATAAATTTGATAATTTTGTCTTTAACACTTTATTCCTGGAAATTTCATTAATATTATATCATAGTTTTTATATCATATCATAAACTACAATCCTTAAGCTCCAATTTAACACAGATATCATATGCTGATTCGTAGAAATACAAATATGATTTTTTGAAAATTCGCGATATTACTAATAACAAATTTGCTGGAAATTTTAGTAATATTATGTTATACTTTTTATATCATATCATAAACTAGAATCCTTAAGCTCCAATTTAACATAGATATCATATGCTGATTCGTAGAAATACAGATGATATGATTTTTTGAAAATTCGTATTAATTTTGATTTATAAATTAGACAATTACTTCTTTAACATTTTTTTCCTGGAAATTTCAATGATATAATCTAATACTTTTTATATCATATCATAAACTGCAATCTTTAAGCTTCAATTTAACATACATATCATATCGTGATTCTTAAAATTGCAGATAATATGGTTTTTTGAAAATATCGTATTCTTCATGATATATAAATTTGACAATTTCTTCTTCAACAATTTATTCTTGGAAATTTCATTAATATTATCTCATAGTTTTTATATCATATCATAGACTACAATCTTTAAGCTTTAATTTAACATACATATCATATCATGATTCTCAAAATTATAGTGGATATGATTTTTTTAAGTGTAGTATTATTTTTGACAATTACTTCTTTAATAATTTTTTCATGGATATTTCAATAATATTACCTATCAGTTTTCATCTATTATCATAAACTATAGTCTTTAAGCTTCAATTTAACATACAAATCATATCGTGATTCTTAAAAACATAGATGATATGGTTTTTTGAAAATTTCATATTCTTTATGATTTATAAATTTGACAATTTTTTTTTAATAATGTATTCCTGGAAATTTCATTAATATTATCTCATAGTTTTTATAACATATCATAAACTACAATCTTTAAGCTTCAATTTAACATACATATCATATCATGATTCTCAAAATTATAGTAGATATGATTTTTTTAAATTTAGTATTATTTTTGACAATTCTTTATTAATTTTTTCATGGATATTTCAATAATATTACATATCAGTTTTCATATATTATCATAAACTACCGTCTTTAAGCTTCAATTTAACATACAAATCATATCATGATTCTTAAAACCATAGATGATATGATTTTTTTAAATTCATATTATTTTTGAAGAATAATTAACAATTTCTTCTTTAATAATTTTATCCTGGATATTTTAATAATATTACCTAATAGTTTTTATATCATATCATAAACTACAATCTTTAAGCTTCAATTTAACATATATATCATATCATGATTCTTAAAAACACAGATGATATGGTTTTTTGAAAATGTCGTACTTTTTTTATTTATAATTATGACAATTTCTTCTTCAACAATTTATTCCTGGAAATTTCATTAATATTATCTCATAGTTTTTATATCATATTATAAACTACAATCTTTAAGCTTCAATTTAACATACAAATCATATCATAATTCTCAAAATTATAGTAAATATGATTTTTTTAAATTTAGTATTATTTTTGACAATTCTTTATTAATTTTTTCCTGGATATTTTAATAATATTACCTATCAGTTTTCATATATTATCATAAACTACAGTCTTTAACCTTCAATTTAATATACAAATCATATCATGATTCTTAAAACCATAGATGATATGGTTTTTTGAAAATTTCATATTCTTTGTGATTTATAAATTTGACAATATCTTTTTTAGCAATGTATTCCTGGAAATTTCATTAATATTATTTCATAGTTTTTATATCAGATCATAAACTACAATCTTTAAGCTTCAATTTAACATACATATCATATCGTGATTTCCAAAAGTATAGTAGATTTGATTTTTTTAAATTTCGTATTTTTTTTGATGAATAATTAACAATTTCTTCTTTAATAATTTTTTCTTGGATATTTTAATAATATTACCTAATAGTTTTTATATCATATCATAAAGTACAATCTTTAAGCTTCGATTTAACATACAAATCATATCATGATTCTCAAAAATACAAATAATATGATATTTTAAAAAAATCGTATAATTTCTGATTTACAAATTAAATAATTTCGTCTTTAACGATATTTTCCTACAAATTTCAATAATATTATCTTATCATTTTTATGTCCCATCATTAATTACAATCTTTAATCTTCAATTTAACATACAAATCACATCAGGATACTTAAAAATACAATAGAACACTTTATTTCTAACTTTTTAGCGAACGCTGTATTAATTCAATAATTAACATGACTTCAAACCAGATTTTTTGCACCGATATCATTGTTTTGTTTATTACCGCCTCCGTTATAACCCCACTTAATGTTTACGATTAGCGTTAGCTATATAAACGGGAAAATAAAGTCACGGGCCACCTGACATTCAGATTATCAGCAAACTCAGCCAACAAAACGTTCTAAATACGAACTCTAACACGATTACGACCAACGTGCCTTCTATAAATAACTTGAAAACATTTCGCATTAAATTTAGTGCAGCTAGTTAAAGTGAAGTTTTGAATCAACAGAGATGGATGAAAACATAGTTTTTGATTTAATGAACGGTACAGAGCAGGTTCGAAGTGTTTTTGTGAAATTATCGCGAGGACCTGAAAATAATGTTTCGGGAAAAGCGTTTACTAAATTTTTTAAAGGAATGGGATCCATGTTTTATCTCATGGATAATAAGGAAGTTAGTTATGAAAATCCAGATCAAGTTCCTGATTTTATTAGAGATGTAATACATTTTTTCACCCATATTTTTGATTATTTATAACAATTTTTTTCGTTTTAGGCAACACCTTATTTCTTAATTTTTATGTTAATCGAAAACATAATTTTATGGATCGAAAAGAAGCCTTTGATGCGACTCAACGATGGTGTTACAAGCGCAGCTCTTGGGATGATCCAAAGATGCGGGCAGTGAGTATTTTTTTTAAACCCCATTTCGGTTTTTATAAAAATTTAGATTGAAATTTATTGCGACTCTCTCAATAGCCTCGGGCTTAATTGAATTTTGCATTTTCAAGCTGTTGTGTTGGTGAGTTTTCGATCGATACAACTTGAAGCGAAGCTTCGGAGCTTTCAGGTTGATTAAAAAAAGTACTCTTAATTGAAATTCAATTCGTTATCGAATTTTTTAAACGATAATCTAAAAATAAATCTAAAAACACTTCACCATAACATCCTCAAGATTCCTTATCTTATTTGCTGGAGACAATATTTATGCAAAAATCTTATCTGTGTTTATGAGATGTTCTCTCCAAGTACTAATTGGAGTTAAAGTTCAAAGATTAAATCATAAAAATTAACACATGTTTAATTTTTTTACGTACAAAATCTTATTTTAGACACTTTTTTGATACAACAGCGACATAGTACTTTTCAAAATCATGTAATTAACATATTTAGGACGTAATAATTCTAAAAATAATATTTGTTTTGGTCGGCGATGACCCTGACATATAAAATGATGATAATATTGGTGATCATAACTTTGAGGCACTTTGGGATGAAAACGATACAAATTAAGACAATTCATTGATATTTAGCACAATTCATTTTAATTCGACTAATGAATATGTTGAAACCCAAAAACGTTGAAGAAATTAAAAAAAAGATGGTCATCAGAATCAGATGTTTAGAGATATCAAAGATAATGTTGATGGATCGTTGACTAATTTGGTGTTATAGACGATGTTGAAGTAGATCAGGGACGATATTCGATAATAATAAGTTTGATGTTGAAGAATATCATGGATAATGTTTGGTGATATCAATTATGATGTGTTGTAAGGAAGATGTTAAGAAATGTCAGAAATCATGTTGAGGGATATAAACTTGAAAGGCTTCAGAGATGATGTAAAGAGCTTGGACAGACTTGAAAAATGTGGGGAATTATATGGAAGGATGTCCTTGACGATGTGATGAAATGATGTTAAAAATGTTGAGAATGTTGGAAGATATCATTTGATTAATAAATATGACAAATTCTTCTTCAAACATTTATTCCTGGAAATTTCATTAATATTACCGAATAGTTTTTATATCATATCATAAACTACAATCTTTAAGCTTCAATTTAACATACAAATCATATCATGATTCTTAAAAATACAGATGATATGATTTTTTGAAAATTTCGTATTATTTTTGATGAATAATTGTCAATTTCTTCTTTAATAATTTTTTCTTGGAAATTTCATTAATATTACCTAATAGTTTTTATATCATATCATAAACTACAATCTTTAAGCTTCAATTTAACATACAAATCATATCATGATTCTTAAAAATACAGATGATATGATTTTTTGAAAATTTCGTATTATTTTTTATGCATAATTGTCAATTTCTTCTTTAATAATTTTTGCTGGAAATTTCACTAATATTATCTAATAGTTTTTATATCATATCATAAATTACAATCTTTAAGCTTCAATTTAACATACAAATCATATCATGATTCTTAAAAATACAGATGATATGATTTTTTGAAAATTTCGTATTATTTTTTATGCATAATTGTCAATTTCTTCTTTAATAATTTTTGCTGGAAATTTCACTAATATTATCTAATAGTTTTTATATCATATCATAAATTACAATCTTTAAGCTTCAATTTAACATACAAATCATATCATGATTCTTAAAAATACAGATGATATGATTTTTTGAAAATTTCGTATTATTTTTTATGCATAATTGTCAATTTCTTCTTTAATAATTTTTGCTGGAAATTTCACTAATATTATCTAATAGTTTTTATATCATATCATAAATTACAATCTTTAAGCTTCAATTTAACATACAAATCATATCATGATTCTTAAAAATGCAGATGATATGGTTTTTTGAAAATTTCGTACTTTTTGATTTATAAATATGACAATTTATTCTTCAACAATTTATTCCTGGAAATTTCATTAATATTATCTCATAGTTTTTATATCATATCATAAAATACAATCTTTAAGCTTTAATTTAACATACAAATTATATCATGATTTTTAAAAATGCAGATGATATGATTTTTTGAAAATTTCGTATTATTTTTGATGAATAATTGTCAATTTCTTCTTTAATAATTTTTTTACAATCTTTAAGCTTTAATTTAACATACATATCATATCATGATTATCAAAATTATAGTAGATATGATTTTTTTAAAATTTAGTATTATTTTTGCCAATTNATATCTCAATAATGTTACCTATCAGTTTTCATATATTATCATAAACTACAGTCTTTACACTTCAATTTAACATACAAATCATATCATGATTCTTAAAAACATAGATGATATGGTTTTTTGAAAATTTCATATTCTTTATGATTTATAAATTTGACAATTTCTTCTTTAACAATTTATTCCTGGAAATTTCATTAATATTATTTTATGGTTTTTATATCATATCATAAACTACCATATTTAAGCTCCAATCTAACATACATATCATATCGTGATTCTCAAAAATATATTAGATATAATTTTTTGAAAATTTTCTTGTTATTTTTGATTTATAATTGACAATTCTTTCTTTAATAACTTATTCCTGAAAATTTCATTAATATTACCTCATAGTTTTTATATCATATCATAAACTACAATCTTTAAGCTCCCATTTGACATACATGTAGAAAAGATTCGGGTATACTCGAAACCCTTCGAATGTACTCGGTCAAGGGCTCGGGTCGATCGATCGACCGAAGCAGATGTGAGAGGAGGGAAGATGTGGAGAAGCAGGCAGAAGTTAGAAGACGAGTTAACAGTAAAGACGTATTGTGTTGAAATTAGTTAATCAAATGAGTTTAAATGTTAATAGAAATAAATAATAAATTAATTAAGAACTAGTGGGGTTTTGGTGAATTATTCAAGCGAAACCCTACATACATATCATATTTTGAATCGTAAAAATTCGGATGTTATGATTTTTTGAAAATTTATGTTACTTTTGATTTATAAATTCGACTAATTCTTCTTTAATAATCTTTTTCTAGAAATGTCAGTTATATTACCTTATAGTTTCTATATCAAATCATAAACTAGAATCCTGAAGCTCTAATTTGACATAGATATCATATGCTGATTCGTAGAAATACATATGATATGATTTTTTGAAAATTCGTGTTACTTTTGATTTATAAATTTGACAATTACTTCTTCAATATTCTTTTCCTGGATGTCTCAACGATATAATCTAATAGTTTTTATATCATATCATAAACTACAATCCTTAAGCTCCAATTTGACATACATATCATATGCTGATTCGTAAAAATTCAAATGATATGATTTTTTGAAAATTCGGGATATTATAAATAAAAAATTTGCTGGAAATTTTAGTAATATTATCTTATACTTTTTATATCATATCATAAACTAGAATCCTTAAGCTCCAATTTAACATACATATCATATGCTGATTCGTAGAAATACAGATGATATGATTTTTTGAAAATTCGTGTTAATTTTGATTTATAAATTAGACAATTACTTCTTTAACATTTTTTTCCTGGAAATTTCAGTGATATAATCTAATACTTTTTATATCATATCATAAGCTGCAATCTTTAAGCTTCAATGTAGCATACATATCATATAATGATTCTTAAAAATACAGATGAAATGATTTTTTGAAAATATCGTATTCTTTATGATATATAAATTTGACAATTTCTTCTTCAACAATTTATTCCTGGAAATTTCATTAATATTATCTCATCGTTTTTATATCATATCATAAACTATAATCTTTAAGCTTTAATTTAACATACATATCATATCATGATTATCAAAATTATAGTAGATATGATTTTTTTAAAATTTAGTATTATTTTTGCCAATTACTTCTTTAATAATTTTTTCCTGGATATTTCAATAATGTTATCTATCAGTTTTCATATATTATCATAAACTACAGTCTTTAAGCTTCAATTTAACATACAAATCATATCATGATTCTTAAAAACATAGATGATATGGTTTTTTGAAAATTTCATATTCTTTATGATTTATAAATTTGACAATTTCTTCTTTAACAATTTATTCCTGGAAATTTAATTAATATTACTTAACTGTTTTAATATCATATCATAAACTGCAATCTTTAAGCGTCAATTTAACATACTGATTCTAAAATAGAATCATATAATGATTCTTAAAAATACAGATGATATAATTTTTTGAAAATATCGTATTCTTTATGATATATAAATTTGACAATTTCTTCTTCAACAATTTATTCCTAGAAATTTCATTAATATTATCTGATAGTTTTTGTATCATATCATAAACTACAATCTTTAAGCTATAATTTAACATATATTTCATATCATGATTCTCAAAATTATAGTAGATATGATTTTTTTAAATGTAGTATTATTTTTGATAATTACTTCTTTAATAATTTTTTCCTGGATATTTCAATAATATTACCTATCAGTTGTCATATATTATTATAAACTACGGTCTTTAAGCTTCAATTTAACATACAAATCATATCATGATTCTTAAAAACATAGATGATATGGTTTTCTGAAAATATCGTATTCTTTATGATATATAAATTTGACAATTTCTTCTTCAACAATGTATTCCTGGAAATTTCATTAATATTATCTCATAGTTTTTATATCATATCATAAACTACAATCTTTAAGCTCCAATTTAACATGCATATCATATCGTGATTCTCAAAAATATAGTAGATATGATTTTTTTAAAATTTCGTATTATTTTTGCCAATTACTTCTTTAATAATTTTTTCCTGGATATTTCAATAATGTTATCTATCAGTTTTCATATATTATCATAAACTACAGTCTTTAAGCTTCAATTTAACATACAAATCATATCATGATTCTTAAAAACGTAGATGATATGGTTTTTTGAAAATTTCATATTTTTTATGATTTATAAATTTGACAATTTCTTCTTTAACAATGTATTCCTGGAAATTTCAATAATATTATCTTATGGTTTTTATATCATATCATAAACTACCATTTTTAAGCTCCAATCTAACATACATACTATATCGTGATTCTCAAAAATATATTAGATATAATTTTTTGAAAATTTTCTTATTATTTTTGATTTATAATTGACAATTCTTTCTTTAATAACTTATTCCTGAAAATTTTATTAATATTATTTCATAGTTTTTATATCATATCATAAACTAGAATCCTTAAGCTCCAATTTGGCATACATATCATATGCTGATTCGTAGAAATACAAATGATATGATTTTTTGAAAATTCGCGATATTACAAATAACAAATTTGCTGGAAATTTTAGTAATATTATTTTATACTTTTTATATCATATCATAACCTAGAATCCTTAATTTTCAATTTAACATACATATCATATGCTGATTCGTAGAAATACAGATGATATGATTTTTTTTAAATTCGTGTTAATTTTGATTTATAAATTAGACAATTACTTCTTTAACATATTTTTCCTGGAAATTTCAACGATAATCTAATACTTTTTATATCATATCATAAACTGCAATCTTTAAGCTTCAATTTAACATACATATCATATAATGATTCTTAAAAATACAGATGATATGATTTTTTGAAAATATCGTATTCTTTATGATATATAAATTTGACAATTTCTTCTTCAATTCCTAGAAACTTCATTAATATTATCTCATAGTTTTTATGTCATATCATAAACTACAATCTTTAAGCTTCAATTTAACATACATATCATATCGTGATTTCCAAAAGTATAGTAGATTTGATTTTTTTAAATTTCGTATTTTTTTTGATGAATAATTAACAATTTCTTCTTTAATAATTTTTTCCTGGATATTTTAATAATATTACCTAATAGTTTTCATATAATATCATAAACTAGAAGCTTTCAGCTTCAATTTAACATACAAATCATATCATGATTCTTAAAAATACAGATGAAATGATTTTTTGAAAATATCGTATTCTTTATGATATATAAATTTGACAATTTCTTCTTTAATAATTTTTTCCTGGATATTTTAATAATATTACCTAACAGTTTTTATATCATATCATAAACTACAATCTTTAAGCTTCAATTTAACATACATATCATATCGTGATTCTCAAAAATATAGTAGATATGATTTTTTTTAAATTTCGTATTATTTTTGATGAATAATTAACAATTTCTTCTTTAATAATTTTTTCCTGGATATTTTAATAATATTACCTAATAGTTTTTATATCATATCATAAACTACAATCTTTAAGCTTCAATTTAACATACATATCATATCGTGATTCTCAAAAATATAGTAGATATGATTTTTTTTAAATTTCGTATTATTTTTTATGAATAATTAACAATTTTTTCCTGGATATTTTAATAATATTACCTAATAGTATTTATATCATATCATAAACTACAATCTTTAAGCTTCAATTTAACATACATATCATATCGTGATACTCAAAAATATAGTAGATATGGTTTTTTTTTAATTTCGTATTATTTTTGATGAATAATTAACAATTTCTTCTTTAATAATTTTTTTCTGGATAGTTTAATAATATTACCTAATAGTTTTCATATAATATCATAAACTAGAAGCTTTCAGCTTCAATTTAACATACATATCATATAATCATTATTAAAAATACAGATAATATGATTTTTTGAATATTTCAGTCAGCTACTTTTTTACTTCCCAGCTCTATTAAATCTCATTTTTCTGTTAAAAGTTTTTCTATTATTAGTCTTTTTACAGTCCCACCCCATTCTGTTCAGTCTCTTCTTTTCATTACCAGTCTCATTTCAGTTTTTTTCTTTTCTGCCAAATCTATTTTCTTCTATTACTCGTCTCTTTACCTTAACTTTAGTCTATATCATGCGGTCTTTATCAATGCTGCCCAACTTTATTCAGTATCTTTCTTCTTGCTCTTCCAGTCTATGTTAAATAATTTTTTCTTTTTCCGTTTTTAGCCAGACAATTTTGTTATAATTAAATTTTGTAATAATTAAACGATTTTAATAATTAAATTACACAATTACTCCAAACGCATTTAAAAAGCGATTTTCATTCAATACCACTCCAATTAGAACGACGCTTTCAGTAAAATTAGAAAGACGCCATTTGAGAGTATTTGCAGTCGGCTTTTTCCGCGTGGAAATTGCATGAGAGTGCAGCTGACGTATATCAAATAGAAAATCACCAATTTCACAAAATCCACACTGTTGACCTTACTACTCCGAGAACGTCTAACAATTCAAATTATATTTTCAAAACGATTTAAAAACAATTTCATAAAAAATAACTTCTTTTTCTTATTATTTTCAGCATGTTATTTCGTGGTGCTGAAAGCTGGGCTTACATTTACATCTACGAACATTTCCGGGTGTTCGAACTTCCTTGGAAAAGTGCTTTTACTTTTTATGCTGCGGCCGTTGCGATCGATTTTTGTTATTATTGGGTTCACCGTGCTTCTCATGGTAAGTTAAAATAAGTAAGTTTTATAACGATTAGGAAAGTTTTTAATGAGGGTGGTCTTTTTAATTGATTCTTAAAACGTTTCAAAACTTTACTAATTGTAATAAGAAACTTTTTTTAATCCAACTTTAACGATTTTTTTTGTTCTAAATAGAAATTCATATTTTATGGGCCCAACACCAAGTTCATCACAGCTCGGAAGATTATAATTTAGGTGCAGCTTTGAGACAGCCGATTTTTCAAGGATGGGTCGCCTTTGTAAGTCTTTTTCCCCCCAATTTTCTTAAAATCATTAAAAAATATTTCTTTTTAGATGTTCTATTTACCTTTAGCCTTCTTTTTGCCACCATCCCATTTCATCGCCCACCAACAATTCAACACCCTCTTCCAATTTTGGATCCACACCCAAACCATCAACCATTTAGGCCCTTTGGAATACATTTTTAACACCCCTCGCCACCACCGAGTCCATCACGGGAGCAATTTGTATTGCTTGGATAAAAATTATGGAGGAGTCTTTATTTTTTGGGATCGCATTTTTGGGACTTTCGCCGAAGAAAGGAAAGATGAAGAGATCATTTATGGCTTGGTCTACAATCAACCCAGCTTTAACCCGGTTCATTTACAAACTTTTTACACCGTTTATGTTTTTAAGAGATTCAATGAAATGGAAGGGGTCAAAAATAAATTAAAAGCTGTCTTTTATGGACCGAGCTGGAAGCCGGGACATCCCAGATTAGGGCTAGAATCAGAAAAACCTCGAGTTGGACCCCGCAAAAAATACAACGTGAAATTACCAACGTGGTGTAACATCTACTTAATAATCCATTTCACGATTGTTATCTACTCATTACACGAATTGGGCCAAAAATACTTAGGGATGAATCCTTTGGTTGTTTTTGGATTCGTCTCTTACATCATCGCCTCCTTAACCACCATAGGAATGTTATTCGACAACAAACCATATTCTTGCGTCTTTGAATTATTGAGGTGCGTCATCTTAGTTACTCTAATTCAACGATTAGATTTCTCGGGGATCGTTAACCCCAACATTTTAACTTGTTTAGAAGTTTTCTTTTTACTCTCTGGGCTATTTTGGTTGTTACAAAGCACCAAGATACTCCAAGTCAAAGAAAAATTGAGCTAAAATCTAATTAATTAGTTAACTAAGATATTGTGATATAAAAAGTGATCGTTACGTGTTAGTTTTATAATGCGTTTTATGTAAATTTAAGATGTAAATAAAGTTGATTATAATTTAGACTTGGTTTTAGTTTTTTGTATTTTTCTCGATATTTATGGATCTGAGAGGAAAAGTGTAAAAGAACAAAATTGTTAATGATAAAGTTCACTACAACTTTTATACTAAAACTTTTTTTCTAAAACGTACCTAATCCCAGTACTACCAACTACAAGGCGTAAAAGCATGATTTCATCTAATTTTCAATTTTTCGAAGCTATCTCGATATTTAAGCATCTTGGAGCAAAAATTTAAAGAGCAATATTGTTAAGAATGCAGTTTTCTACAACTTTTATACTAAAAAGTTTTTTCTAAAACCAGTTCTACCAACGACAAGATATAAAAATTAAATTTTTTAACGATAATCGTGCATAATCGCATTTTTGGGTTCATACCTAGACTATGCTAACAGCTAGACTAGATCTGGTTATAAATTGGAATTTCTTGGTTTATTATGAACAATAGTTATGCATTACATTTTTATCCCTCTGCTTTAGTTTAAAAGTTGTGAGCGATTTTTATAATTAAAACCATGCATCTTAGTATTTCGCAACTTTCGACTTCATACCTAGACTGTGCTAACAGCTAGGTTAGATCTGGTTATAAATTGTAATTTCTTGGTTTATTATGAACAATAATTATGCATTACATTTTTATGCTTCTGCTTTAGTTTAAAAGTTGTGAGCGATTTTTATAATTAAAACCATGCATCTTAGTATTTCGCAACCTCTTAGTATTTCGCAACTTTCGACTTCATACCTAGACTGTGCTAATAACTAGACTAGATCTGGTTATAAATTGGAATTTCTTGGTTTATTATGAACAATAATTATGCATTTCATTTTTATCCCTCTGCTTTAGTTTAAAAGTTGTGAGCGATTTTTATAATTAAAACCATGCATCTTAGTATTTCGCAACTTTTTCGCAACTTTCGACTTCATACCTAGACTCATACCTAGACTGTGCTAATTCCTAGACTGTGCTAATAACTAGACTAGATCTGGTTATAAATTGTAATTTCTTGGTTTATTATAAACAATAATTATGCATTACATTTTTATCCCTCTGCTTTAGTTTAAAAGTTGTGAGCGATTTTTATAATTAAAACCATGCATCAGTTGTGAGCGATTTTTATAATTAAAACCATGCATCTTAGCATTTCGTAGACTTTCGACTTCATACTTAGACTGTGCTAATTCCTAGACTAGATCTGGTTATAAATTGGAATTTCTTGGTTTATTATGAACAATAATTATGCATTACATTTTTATCCCTCTGGTTTAGTTTGTATTTCGCAACTTTCGACTTCATACCTAGACTGTGCTAACTGCTAGACTAGATCTGATCTTAGTATTTCGCAACTTTCGACTTCATACCTAGACTGTGCTAGTTCCATGCATCTTAGTATTTCGCAACTTTCGACTTCATACCTAGACTGTGCTAATTCCTAGACTAGATCTGGTTAGATCTGGTTATAAATTGTAATTTCTCGGTTTATTATGAACAATAATTATGCATTACATTTTTATCCCTCTGCTTTAGATTAAAAGTTGTGAGCGATTTTTATAATTAAAACCATGCATCTTAGTATTTCGCAACTTTCGACTTCATACCTAGACTGTGCTAATAACTAGACTAGATCTGGTTATAAATTGGAATTTCTTGGTTTATTATGAACAATAATTATGCATTACATTTTTATCCCTCTGCTTTAGTTTAAAAGTTGTGAGCGATTTTTATAATTAAAACCATGCATCATAATTAAAACCATGCATCTTAGTATTTCGCAACTTTCGACTTCATACCTAGACTGTGCTAACTGCTAGACTAGATCTGGTTATAAATTGGAATTTCTTGGTTTATTATGAACAATAGTTATGCATTACATTTTTATCCCTCTGCTTTAGTTTAAAAGTTGTGAGCGATTTTTATAATTAAAACCATGCATCTTAGTATTTCGCAACTTTCGACTTCAAACCTAGACTGTGCTAATAACTAGACTAGATCTGGTTATAAATTGTAATTTCTTGGTTTATTATGAACAATAATTATGCATTACATTTTTATCCCTCTGCTTTAGTTTAAAAGTTGTCAGCGATTTTTATAATTAAAACCGTGTATCTTAGCATTTCGTAGACTTTCACAAACACGGTGTTATTCTGAGGGCTGCACAAATTTAACAGAAACGAATTAAGAACATGAACTTTGTAGTTTCGATAGAAGAAACTAAGACGAATCCAATGACGTATACGTCTTAATAATCGTGGACATCTTTTACGAGTTATCACCACCTAAAATCAGGTAACTTTTGTGTTATTTTAGCGAGATTCATCATTCAGTTATAATCAAAATAGTGGGCCAACTTCGCATGGATAAGTTATCCATGAAAAATCCAAGTCATCCCAGATTTATGTTTCACTTCTTGAAACTTTCAACAATTAAAATTTGATCAAATTAATTATCTTTGCGACGTTGTAAATATTATCTCCCTGTGGATTTCTCATAACCACAAAGTTTCGGACCTGCGCCGTTTCAGGAGCAAGGATCCACCTGTGGACACTGTATGGTTCGACACAGTAAGTTTTTATCCGTCGCAGAGGTCGATTCCGTTTCGTTTCGAAGCTGTGGGAGCGCGTTCGTTCTTAAATTAGTGAGAAGAGAAATGGATCGAGAAGAAACTGTAAGTTTATCTATCTTTTATTATATTTATTTAAATATCGTTTGGTAAATTAATTATATTTGAGTCCCCCCATTTAATGCTTTTATGAAGGAAACCACAAAGGGACTTCCGAGCCGAGTACAATCTTTGTAAAGGGTCAAAGGGTACTCAAACGAACAGGGATAAAAGGAGTTAAGGTTCTCGTAGTGACTGGGGTAGATAATTTAACAAGCACGTTTGAACTTTAATAACGTTTCTTTTTATGAATTGATTAAAAGAAATATAAATCTTATAAAGTTATTATAGCATAGACAGAAATAGATAGGAAAATAAAATTATAAATTTAAATTTTAATAAATCATTCATAGACTTGTAAAATTTAAAGTTTTTAGTAAACTTAGTCCGAAACAAATAAGATGATTCTGCACGAAAGATTTCACCAGTAGGTAGTTTTCACCGGTAGTGTGTCTAAAAAGATTATAGACACACTACCAACTAAATACAGAACTTGTAGAGAAGCTTGGTTGGAAATTTATCATCAAGGTTGATTAATGAAGAAAATAACCTTAACGCAACAGAAACTGAAGAAGACGCCTTAGCTGCAACCTCAATAAGAAACCAGAAAAGAAGTTATTTTGCCAAACATTACAAAAACAAAATAGTACAGCAGCAGTAATAAGAGGAAATAACATAATGCTACTACTCTCAAAAAATAGGCCAATTTATCTTATATCGATTTGCCAAATACCCAATTTTTTGCTACTATATTTTGTTTATTATCAGAACGTTTATTCTCTGATTAACTCTTGCTCTCAGATGCATAGTATTGCGAAAAACACGAGAATATGAAAATTTGATAAATTTCGTTATTTTACAAGTTCTTAATGGTAACAACTTGGAATCGGAGCATTTTATTAAAAAAAATTTAATATAAAAGTTGTAGCAAATATTATTCTTACCAATATTGCTCTCTTTTACTTTTGCTCTCAGATGCGTCAATATCGAGAAATATACGAAAATATGGAATGTTTAAGAATTTGTTGTTTTACTAGGTTAATAGTAGCACTCGGGAATCGGAACATGTTACAAAAAAACTTTTTGAACAAAAGTTGTAGCAAATTTAATTCTTACCAATATTGCTGTCTTTTACTTTTGCCGTCAAATGCGTCAATATCGAGAAAAATACAAAAATATGAAAATTTGAAAAATTCGGTACATTACTAATAAGTTAATGGTAGCACTCGGGAATCCTAATATGATATAAAAAAACTTTGAAAATAAAAGTTGTTGCAAATATTATTCTTACCAATATTGCTCTCTTCTACTTTTGCTCTCAGATGCGTCAATATTAAGAAATATAGGAAAATATGAAATTTTTAAGAATTTGTTGTTTTACTAGGTTAATTAATGGTAGCACTCGGGAATCGGAACATGTTACAAAAAAACTTTTTGAACAAAAGTTGTAGCAAACTTAATTCTTACCAATATTGCTCTCTTTTAGTTTTGCTCTCAAATGCGTCAATATCGAGAAATATACGAAAATATGAAATTTTTAAGAATTTGTTGTTTTACTAGGTTAATGGTAGCAATCGGGAATCGGAACATATTACAAAAAAACTTTTAGATCAAAAGTTGTAGCAAATTTAATTCTTACCAATATTACTCTTTTTTACTTTTGCCCTCAAATGCGTCAATATTGAGAAAAATACAAAAATATGAAAATTTGAAGAATTCGTTGTTTTATTAGCAGATAATGGTAGGATTCGGGAATCGGAACATGTTACAAAAAAACTTTTAGAAAAAAAGTTGTAGCAAATTTAATTCTTACCAATATTGCTCTCTTTTACTTTTGCTCTCAAATGCGTCAATATCGAGAAAAATACTAAAATATGAAAATTTAAAAAATTCGGTGTGTTACTAATAGTTAATGGTAGCACTCGGGAATCCTAATATGTTATAAAAAAACTTTTAATATAAAAGTTGTTGCAAATTTTATTCCTACTAATATTGCTCTCTTTTAGTTTTGCTCTCAAATGCGTCAATATCGAGAAATATACGAAAATATGAAATTTTTAAGAATTTGTTGGTTTACTAGGTTAATGGTAGCACTCGGGAATCGGAGCATGTTACAAAAAAACTTTTAGAATAAAAGTTGTAGCAAATTTAATTCTTACCAATATTACTCTCTTTTACTTTTGCCCTCAAATGAATCAATAACGAGAAAAATACAAAAATATGGAAATTTGAAGAATTCGGTGTATTACTAAGAGTTAATGATAGCACTCGGGAATCCTAATATGTTATAAAAAAACTTTTAAGATAAAAGTTACTGCAAATTTTATTCCTACCAATATTGCTCTCTTTTAC